GGCGGACCTAGAGATCATTTTCCTGGGAAGGGGGCCTCACGGTTGCACGGGTGAAAGGAAACATTTGAAATGTTGAAAATTTCCGTGAAATATTTCATGAAATTTCACAAAGTTGTGAAAAATATGAAACATTTTCGGGGGCTGGGTATGCAACACGCACTAAAAAACACAACAATGCAAAACTCAGTCACCTTCCACTTAATTTTTTGTTTAATTTCGAAAAATATTTTTCATGAAAAGATGCAACCCTCGGGGACCCAGACCCCCTACCACCGGGGGGTCTGGGGGTATGTAATACCCCCTAGTGTAGAGTGGGGTCCGGGGGGCCTCCCTAGAAAATTTTTGAAATTTTGAATCTATTAAGACGCATTTTCAGCTTTCAGTGAAGCTGATTTTCCATCAATATCTGCGGAATTTTTTTCCCCCCACCCTCGGCACAAAATAATTTCGAATTGTTGCATTCATCAGATCCGGAAATCATTTGGAATTTTAACTCTATTTTGACGCATTTTGGAGCTTCCTTGACGAAAAGTTCAGAAAATACTAACTGAATAAACACGGTGTTTTCATTTAAATTCTGTATTAAAAGAGATAAATATCCTCGACGAGAATTTTCTCCCGCCATTTAAAATTTTGGGGGAGCCAGATGATGCTATTTTTGATTCTGGGGGGGGGGCGACAGGCTCCCCCTGGGCCCTCCCTTTCGTACGCCCATGCAGGGTTGTCATACAAGGTGATCCAAAAGTCCCGCACCACCTCTATTACTCCTAGTTTTTTTGCTCCTTTTCAGGGTGGTCCGTTTAAAATGTTGGGGGTTCCCAGAAGTCATTCCCTTTAGCCTGGGAGCAACCACAAACAGGGCCGGAGTAGCACTTTAGGGCCTGCGATGCTGCGGCCTTAAGTTCTAAGTTTAAGGACCCCATATGATACCCAAAACTCCAGTCTTAGGGCCTCTCTAAATCTATCTTTTAGACTACAAGGGCCTCTAGAGGATCTGGAATTTTAAAAAATTGCCCAGGAGGGCTGATCCCTGGCCATGCTTACAAAATGCCAAGCCTTCATCTCAATTGATTCAAAAGTTACAGGTATGATGCCTGGTGCTAACGATGTGGAACTTCTGGATTAGCTTGTAGGTTTCAAAATTTCCTCACTTGGAAAAATTTCCTGGAACGCCTGTGGGAACGTGCTGTTGTCCCAATAGATTCCTTTTTCCGTAGCGAGAATCCCATGAATCGGAACAGCAGGAATTCCTGGTATCTCAAATAGAAATCCGATGAGAAAATTGAGAACAGTAAAATTTTTTTCCACCTGCAGTCTTATGAACCTAAATATTCATGACCTTCCAGACAAGGGAGCCCCCCCAAAACACCCCTCGATATTAATTTATCCCCCTGGGGCCATCACAAGGGCAGCAAAAAGTGAAATCCGGGCATGGACATGCAGCAGATTGCATGTAGGTTTGGGTGAAAAACGTTGCGCGCCTGAAATTCACCTTAATTTTGTAGGATTTTTCCTTGATGTGTACAAGAAAAACATTTTCTGAGCTTCAGTCATATGAAGAGTATGATCAGATGGTTTAAATTCATTACATAGTCCTTAAATGCAATTTAATTGTGTAAAAAAAAAATAGCATAAAGAAGGGCCTGTTGAACCTTCTAACCAAAGTTCAAGACGATTCATATGTGAATAGTGCTCACTGCTATATATTTATCTTCTGACTAAATGGTTATGAAGGTAACCAGAAGTAAGTTGAGCGGCATGCATGGATGGTTGCAGTGGATGAGAATCAAAGCCAGGAAGCAATAAGTGGTGCATTCAAAGGATTACTCCATTTGAGAGGGACTGGGTAAAATTTCGTCAATTAAATATTCATAATAGGTGTTGAGAAAATCCCTTCCTAGTTATATAAATGATTCCTGTGCGTTCAAATGTTTTCAGGACTTATTGATACAGTTAATGCAGTAGTGTTTCACTTAAGTTAAATTATGCCTCCTAAATTTATAATTGAATAGATAACATGTGAATATTGACCACTGGTTCAACCTGAACAACTACTGCTATCGAATCCCCTCCATCGCAGAAAGTTTCTAAGGCACCTTCAACTTAAACCTACTATGAACTAACCACAGTAACAAAGTTGAGTTGGCAGACCACCTCAAGAGGTATCAACATAGTGCGATGAGGTTGAATAAATAAATGCCATTCCATCGACGAAGCAAAACGAGAGCGTCTTATCAAAATGTTATGACGCGCTGTGTCAAAATTAGGGGTAGGAAGGAGCATCTCAGCGTCTAAGATGAGTGTTTTATAGAATAAGCGACTTAACACTCTCATGGGGCGAGAAAAGCATGACATGACAGTAAACACAAACCTGATTTTAATCCTTTTCCGCTAGCCCCGAGTTTTCCACTTTTCGCAGCTTTGGCACCCTTCAACAGCATTATTGAAGTTAGTGAGTCAGTTGAGAAGATAAGATTGATCCGGCAGAAAACACGCACTTCAACTCACGATCACTTGACACTTGGAAAAATCGAAACACTTCTTCGAGAAACAGAAAACAGACAATATTTTTTGATCACTTTTGCTTCCTCATCAAAATATTTCGTCGAACAACCACGATCCTGAAATTCGTATCAAGATGGATGCCAAATTGTTAGATAAAAATAGTGCCTTCATTCATGTTTTAAATCAATTCATGCCTCACTGGGCACTACCGCAGTCAACATCTTTGGTCAACAGTCAACACCGCTGGTGAGGGACTGTAACACCGGATTCTACCAATGAAAATTCTTCACCTCTGACGCAATCACAGAGCGGCAAACTTTGAATAACCGGGAACCACTGGTTTTATTGATGGACGGAAAAGAAGTCTATTTTTTGTACCAATCAAAGGATTGAAATGATTAACACGGCTTTCTGAATGACACATAATGTGCTCTTGTTACTGTGTCTGAGCATTTGGTTTCAGTTAAAACTTGATTACTTAATATGTTTCTTGATTTTTTTCCACACGTCTCTTCATGGTAAATTCTTTAAAATGTACACAACTACTGTGTGTAGCTTTCTTGTAAATCTTCTTTCTAGACATCAGCTCACAATCTGTAAGTAATGCTCTGCAATGGGCGTAAGTAATAATCTGACACACAGAAATCGCAGAGGGTGGTGGCAAGGTAGCCAGGTGGTTTTCAGTCGTGAACAATTATAATCACTGATTATAATCAATCGTTAATTGTTATATCAGCTATTGGGAATCAAGCTAGAGAAGCACAGACCATGCTGTGGATAATCCAAGTTTGTAAATGCCTTCATTAGACTAGCGATTTGTGGGGTCTCTTTGAAAACCGTTGCTTGATTATTTGTTTTAAAATGTAGGTAAGTATGTCAGGACTCAATTTATCAAAATGGAATTGAGTCACATTAGACCATAATAGAAATAAAGAGATTTGAGGTTTCCTGTCTCCATAAAACTCCAGTGTAGAAAATGAACTTCGGGTCCAAAATTAGAAAATATATACTAAAATTTACCTCTAGCTTTTCGATAGGAGACTGTGATGACTTGTTAGGCTTAAAATCACTGTTAAAGGTAGCTCATTTTTCTTGAAAATGTAACTTGATTACTTAGGTACTGTACCACTTATTGTTTAAACCGGTAGATCCTTCTTCCAAGATTCCAAAGGCATTTTGAATTCACAATCTTTCTTATTTGTTCATGTTTCTTTAGTTTTATAAGTTATTTCGAGGGAAATTTCGTTGTTGGCTGCTAAAACTTCTTTAAAAATGGTCAAACATTTAATTTCAATACTTGGCAACAGCATCATAAGTCCGGTACCTGACTGAATTTTTAAAATTTTAGGGGTGGCATCACGTATCGGCAACTTATAGGTACGAATATTTGATGGTGGGTGGCTATTGACTTTATTTTTCCCCAAGTAATGATCTGGAAGTTCCGCATAAAGTCCTGGAAACGTGATTTCTGGTTTAAAATTAAGCTGTCCCATGATTTCTAACTCCTTAGAAGAAATGAGCTGAATTATCATTTTAGGACAGTTGTCTGGCGCTAGACTAAATGAAGCATCCATCGCTGGATTCTTTTGGCTAAATAAAGCCTTGGTCATTAACATGTTAAATAATTGTATTAATTATTTTAGTCTCCCTGTGGATCCGAACATCCAAGTTTCCAATATTTTTTTTGTGAAAAAAAAAAAACATGTGAGATAAGGAGAAAATTAACTCACAATGAGGGGTAAGAAGATAAGTTTATGCGACACTTACACTTTTGGGTTCTCTGAGTGCAAATTTTAAAATTACAGGGGTGCAAAGAACAAAAAAAATTGCTGAATCAACGTCTGAGATGTTAAAAATCTGCTCTATAAATTTTAAATGTTGATATGAACATTCCAGCTGTTGGTACAACATTGTAAGGATATTACACCACCAGAGTTCATGTAAACATTTCAGAGTTATGTCATGTACATTTCTACATCCCTAATGTCAATTCAGCAAAATTTTAATTCCAGAAGTGTAAGCAAGCAGTTAAACATGGATTTAATTCGGATCTCCATCCAAAATTTGCATTACATCTGAATTTGTAGAGGTTAAAACCTTGACTCCTGCACAGAGGGTCTGTTTTTGTCCCCAAAAAGCTAACTTTGATGTTCCGTCTGACACTTTCCTATTTACAGCTTTAACATACTTTCTGAGGTAAGAAAAATAACAGCAAAATTTTAAGAGTAAACAAAGCAAAATATTTATATTTCAATTCGAAATTGAACAATGAGTGGGACAAGTGAGAGCAAACTTAATATAAAAATCATTCCACAGACTGATAAGTATATAAATCTACATAAAGTATGTAAATGATTGGCAATGAAGACTTACAAGACTCATGGTAAAAGTTTCTTATTGTTTTCCTCTTGAATTATAGTGGATGGATTATATGAATAGACATTTTTAAAAACTACAAAATTTTACAAAAAGTCTCCTGTTGGAGAAGGAGGAATATAAGAGAAATTAAACTCATTGAGTAGAGAACTTTTTCACATAAAAAAGATGACACACGAAATTAATGTTGAAATTGGGCAACTTCAAAGAAGTTTTGGTGGGATTGATGAAAATAATTACAGAAAAAAATTGAGGAATTTAGGTGTGGACTTGCATAAAAAGGAGCCCACTTAGTTTTGTCGGTCAATAGTGCAAATATTGGTGTAATGTGGATAATGTTCAATATACTTACAAGACTGCAAAAATTAAGAGGAAAGAAAGGTATGTAACTTTCAGCAATGATAGATTTGAAAAAATCTAATGAGAATTGTTATAATCATAATTGAATATCACATCACTGATAGGTCAGATCTTACATTGTACAGCAATCATGCTCCAACATTTGCAGAGTTGAGTTGACTGAAATGTTGTCATCTCAAAAACCTACTTGAAATCAAATCTACGGATGATATTCGACTTATGTATTAAAATAAAGTGATGTGAAGGAATGTTGGCTCATATACTTAATTAGAACCAGCATCAGCATCCTCATCGCCCCATTTTCCGTCAAACTTGTTCCTTTCGACAAAATTATTACCTTTCCCTTCACCTTCACTCTTTGCATCTACGTCATCCTTACCAAGGAGCATTTTATTGATGCGTTCTTTTGCCTCGTCGACCTTCGTCATCGGACTACGATCATCGACTTCTTGCTCATCGAAGGATTTCTCATCATCACTGTAGGATCTTGAGCGGCGGTTGCTGCGGTAGCTATCTCGGTCATGGTCTCGGTAATCGCGTGAATCTCGTGAGTCTCTGGGCCGGTAAGAAGAAAATCTTGCCCTGCCCCTTCCACGCGGTCGCCTGTAGCCACCTCTACCTCTGTAATCATGGTAATCTCTGTGTTGGAAGTAGTTACCTCTTCCTCTACCACGAATGTATCCTCGATTAACGTAGGGCCGAGGCCTGTAATACGTACCTCTACCTCCACGCGGATAGCGACCACCCATTCGTGATCTGTAGTCAGGAGAGCGAGATCGCGAGTTGGACCTGGAACCAGAGACGGACCTAGAATAGGACCGTGAGCCGGAGCGAGAGCGATACCTACGAGGACGAACTGGATATGAGCCACTGCGAGAGCGTGAACGAGATCGGGAGCCTGATCGCGATGATGAGCGACTTCTGCTGCGTGAAAATTTGCGGCGCTGACGAGCCCGTACCTCACGGCTCCGACTGCGCGAGAAACTCCTTTTGCTGGAACCGGAGCTTCGGGATCTAGACATTGGGCGTTTCCTTTCTGGCTTTGGAGAGGGTTGTTTAATCGGTTTAGCATCCCTTCCAGTTGAGTTCATTCGGAATCCTCCGAGTTTGTCCATTAACGTCATTTTCTTGGGAGGTTCTGCTTTCTTTGCATCTCCAGTTTCTGAATCTGGATCACTCATCATAATGTATCGCTTTTCCTTCGAGTCAGTCCAAGAGTCTTTGCTTTCTCTCTCCTTCTCTTTCTTTTTACTCCTGTAAAATTGATTAAAAGTTAGAACATATTATTTTTGAGAAAGAAAATAAATAAGAATTGAATCGATGTTTCAGCAGAAAGTGATTATTATTGCTTCAGTTGTTTTTGTTCCTCTTTTTGACTGTATAGTGACTCTTTTTGACTCTTACTTCTCATCTAATCAGCAGTGAGGCTGGAAAATTAGAGGTATTTGGAAGGTTGGGTATAATTTATGCTATATTGACTATTGGTATCTTAGGGTTTATTGTTTGAGGTCATTATATATTTACAGTTGGAATAGATGTAGATACTCGAGCTTATCTTTAAATTATCAACTTAATAAAATTAATTAATTTACTTAACTTCAAAGGTTATTGTTTAAAACTTAAGTTAACAACTTATATCTAATATCACTTTCCAGTGATCTTACTTTGTTACGACTTGTCTTAATTTATGTAAGAATGACGGGCGATTTGTACATAGCTTATATCAAATTTAGTTAAATAACTTAATTTTAACTTACTTCTAAATCCTTTTTAAAAACTTCAGTTATTTAGTTTATTCTACTAAATTAATTTAAATGTAATCCACCTCATTTTCAAAAAATTATGTGTTGACTTGATTTTATGAGGTTGAGCAGACTTTAAATACTATTTTTAAATTTATATTTGACAGCGATATATAAATATTATTTGTTTGAAATATCATAGATTGTGGACTGTCAATTATAGGGCAGATTCCTCTAGTTAGGTTAAGCTACCGCCAAATTTTTTAAGTTTGAAGATTTTCTTTTACTACTTTAATTATATTAATTCTTAATAGTAGGGTATCTAATCCTAGTTTTTAGTAGAAACTTATATTTTTATTGGGAAGACCTTCTTACACATTCTGTAACACTTTTGTGTCGCACTACACTAACGTTTTTTCCTTCTTTTTTTTCATTGGATTATGAGTATTTTCCGAATTTTACAAAATGGCTTCTTTATTTTGCTGTTCATACAAGAAAAACGTATTCTCTTTAGAGGATAAAAATATTCTGAAATTTACAGAAAAAAAGGTAAAAGAAATTTCTTGTCATTTTTTTCATGGATGGGCCTTCTTTCTTACCTTGTTACAAAGCTGCCCTTAAAAATTAAAGAACTTTCTACCCATTCAAACTAAATTAAAGAATTCCGTGATGAAGTTTGATGATGCGCAAATTGTTGTTAGATACTGTCGCTTGGCTGACAAAAGGGCAAAACTACACTAAGAGATGAAACTGGGAGAGCTTTGAGTTACACAGACAACAGGGTTCATTAGGAAGTGTAATTACGTCCTTGCATCAGGAAAGAGACAATATGATCTATACACTTAGTTTGCAAATGAATTAAAATTGTTTTGCAATGTATGTAAAATTTTAGAGGTTGGCAAACTTACCAAGCACCAGTGGGGTTGATGTGCATTTTAAACTTTGGTGGTGATGCCTTTGAAGGTTCTTTCGGTGTAGGAATCGGTGACAGGCTAACTTTTCTCTTTTCTGAACCTGTCAATTAGACAAAAAAAAATAAACTGTTAATTAATTAATTAACGAAGGATTTTTAACACTAATGGACGGGCATTTCTTACTACAAAGACACTGGTCATGAACTTTATGCTAACCTATTAAGGATTCATTGAAATACACAGAGGGCCACTGATCCCCCATTGATGTAGCAGGATTCTTTGCAACTTCAATATGCGATTCCTACACACGGTAACCTTTGCCGAGGTGAATAGTCTACACATTTTTGGAATCAATAGGTTTAGAATTGCTTGACAAAATTTCATTAATTCATCTCTGACTGACACTAGCGTCATTTTCAATAAAAGATAGGAACAAAATGACACACAGGAAATGAGACTAATGATAGGAATGGGATTCCTGTCAAGCAGTCACAAGATGCATAATGAATCAGGTCTGAAGTTTGATGTTTTGAGGATGAAAAACTGTCAATTTTCTCAGGAAGGGAAAACCTGCTGACCCAATATTTTTTACTAGTTCATTCAAAATTTCAAAAAAAAACTTTAACTTACGAGATTTTCCATTAAAACTACTTTCTGGCTGTTCTCGCTCGTAATCCCTTCTGGGTTCTGGAGAGGGTGAGACTGCTGCCTTGGATTTCACTGGTTTACTATTGCTGGACGAACGTTTTTCTGAGGATTTCCTGAAAAATGAGGTATGTAAAAATTTGACAATATTACAATGTAGTTACTGAAACTGAGTAAATAGTGAGTTAACCAATTTGAAGCACACAAGTAGTTAGAGTTATTCTCCTTCAACTTTCTATCCTTAAATTTATAATTTTTCAAGTGTCTTTAATCTTGAGTAATACAAATTGTCAAACACAGATCATATTTTTGCAGAATGGTGAGCATAGATAAAAATTTTAACTAATTGTTTTGGTATTTTGGGTTTCACCATGAAAAATTCAACTGACTTTATCCTCAGAGGTTTAGAGATTTTAAGCTGCAAAACCAAAGTTTTTTTTACTTTCTTACTTCCCTTGTCGGTAGAGGGAGTGTTGTCAACGATTTTTTTTTTCTTTTCACGTACAGTGGCAGCTGGCTAATTTTAATTTTAACGTCATATTAACAGGTTTTTGAAACGGCAAAATTTCCAATTATGGAGAGCGGTCTCAAAAAAGAATTACGATAACACATTAAAACTTCTGCACTTACTTTTTTACTTTTTCTGCAACTTCTTTCTCCAATTTTGAGGTTTCCAAATATGCAGACAAATTCTTTTGCAGTTCTTCTAAATCTGGTAATCTTGATAAGCCTAGTAATTTACTGGGAACAACAGAGGAAAATGTATATACATGAATTCAACTTGCATTCACATTTTCAACTAATAACCAATGATTAATGCTCACTAAAAGGCCCCTTTTCCAGGTTAAACATCATAGCAGAGCACAATTGGTCTGTTGCACACAAAGATCCGGACTGATGAACAAATTTTTGAGCAGTAAAATTCCACAATGATCATGACAAGGGAATCAAGGAAGTCCAAAATCCACTCCTTAAAACAAATAATCTTCACCTTTTTGGCTTGTGGATCCCTAACTTCGTACTTAAACGTTTCTCAACCTCCCTCGCAAAAAATTACCCTTTTTTTGTACTCCTGAGCCATGTAACATTGTCAGTGAACATTGTAATATACAGAGACACAAAGCAATTGGTTCCTAGTGTTAATGCAGGGATTGCATTTGCATCTCGTTAACAAACTTTGTTATCTTTTGCTCACAACCGAGGTTTTGCAAAATCTTCCGTCTTGAGGCCTGTTCTCTCCATCATTTTCCACAAATAGAATAGTCTGATATGCATTCAATTTTTGATGAGTTTCTGTAGTGAGATCAATCTTATTTTTGGGCTCCACATCAGATAAATTAACCGTTTTTCTCTGCTTGCGCAGGCTACATGCTCAAAGAAAACAAATAGGATACAAATCTATTTGAATTAGGATACATTAATTGTCTCATACACTTCAGAACACTGAGACAGTCATTTATGGAGCCAAGTTGCTAGGCGATCTGATAGTGGCATACAAGAGGCGACAGGAACTGCATAAAACTGTTAGGTTAAGCTTACCTGAGTTCTGGTTTGTTTGCTAGTAGACTAGGGATACTATCTTCTTCAGAGTCCGAGTGTTTACTGGTACTTCGACGTTTATGTTTAGGTTTCTTTTCATCAAGATCTTTTGATTTCTTCTTTTTTTTCTCCTCACGTTTCTTCTTTTTACCTGATTAAAATGACAAATGGTGGATAATATAATACTATTGAGGTAGCAAATTTGTTCCAGTTAGAAAAGTCACTTTGAGCTCTCTGATTTATCAAATTTTCATTTACATTTCGAGTGAGAGCTTAAAATCTACCACAAAGATTTGCATGATTGTTGCAGCTGTTGGCACAAACATTTGTCCCCATAGAAGCATTCCACAGATTAATTGTCACTAGCACCGACTTTTTGTTTTTGGAGGAACAAACGTAATTTACATTTTTTCCATTTGGCTGATGTGCAGCAGCTTCTTTCATCAATATTTAGATTACATGAAGTAAAAAGGTACCAAAAATAATGAAAAACCGGACAGTTTCAATTTCTTTTTGCTTGCTGCATTCTTTCATTTTCAAATATTTCCAAGACTGATTGTAATCATTTTGGTGCTAACAGCAAGCTGAAGAGATCACCATGTTAGAACTTTTAAATTAAAATTCTAACACATTGATCAAAACAGCAAATGACTGGTAACGGAGGACAGATTTTTATCCCCCCCCCCCAAAAAAAAAAAAAAAAAAAAATGTACTTGCTTATCAGACATCCTAGCTCATCACCATGAGCAGAGAAGTTTTGCAGTTATGCAAGCAATTGGCAGACATCAATTTGAAGATAAGTAATATCCTCAAATTAATTCAGTAAGGTACAGACTGCGTAGTTCCAAGGATTATTACTGATGATAGTAGAGGTTTTGGAGGTGCAATTTTCAGCTTTTTAGTAAGGCACAACTCTAAAGAAAAGCAGACATCTGCTGATGAAATACCTTTGTCACGAGATTTCTTTTCCTTCTTCTTCTTCTTTTTCACTTTTTCTTCTTTTAGCTTCTGTTCCTTTTTCCTGGAAATAAGTAATCAAAAAAATTTAGCGACAACTTTGATTTTAGGAAGACAAAAACTTAAGACAGTTAATGTACTGATGATAGTTTTATCAATTTTTCTTTGTCTGGACACCTCCATCATTTAAAATTGGTAAAGAGTTTAAAAAAGGTCGTATTATTGACTTCTAAACCAGTTAGAGTTAATTTTTGGAGGCAAGTATTTTCTATTCTTTGAAAATGTTGAGACGCAGGTCTTGCTTTTACACTTGCATGCTGCTTTAAGTATGTTACAAATCAAAGGGACTCCTGGAAGAAAACATGATAAATTGAATTGAAAAAAAAAGATTTACATACCATTTTGCGGTTTCATCTAAAAATTTGCGAACTTTTTCCTCGTAATCATCATCACCTTTGGTTTGTTCAAGAAACTTTCGCACCCTTTGCTCGTAATCACTTTCTTTGTCATCTTTTCCTTGCACCAATTGCTGATAGGGTGGTAAAACTGACGATACATTAGCACCTGCAATGGTCAAAAACATGTTGTGATTTTTGCTGATTAAAATAAGTACCTAATATCCATATCAAATGAAACAACCACACGGACTGATGGAATCCAGTACACAGTCACAGGAAGCTGGTGTTTTGTTTCCCTTGTGCTGCTGTGTAATATAGGCGCAGTTTCCAAGTCCTCTAGAGAGGTAATTGTAGAGTGCTGGTTACTTACGTAGCTGGTTTGAAACGCTGGAGACCCAGCAATCGGCAGAGACCTTGGGAAATTTCCCAGTTTTCTCCTGCATTTTTCAGGCGTGGCAGGAACACTAATGCTAATTTACATTGACAACGAACACATTGAGCTGAAGTTTTCTTACGTTCAGTTGGGAGAAACCACAACCCCACAAGCATGAATAGGAATTGCAGCAATAGATTAAGTGAGAATATTCCTAGGAACACTTTGCTTTCGGGTGTCTCAGGGTTTTTTGCCTTTAAATCACTGTACACCATGAACTTTGCTCTTATCCATACATAAAATGAGATGTTACACAGTTTTCACAACAAACAGCAGCAAAATGATACTGCTTAAAAAGTCAGATTCCTGTGGTGTAGTGGTTTTAGCCCTGGTTCCAGGTTCGATTCCCGGCTGGACAATCTGAGTTTGATGGTCTCAATCAATGGTTGCCTGCAGCTGATTGTTGATTAGGGACTTAGGGGGAAAGGGACTTAACCTGCAAGGGCAGAATTAGCCCTAAGGGGTATTTACAGTGACTTTAAAAAAATAAATATATAAATGGAGAAAACTTTTTTATCTAAAGATTTGTAATTTTTTCTTCATAATCATCGTCACCTTTTGTTTGTTCAAGAAACTTTTGCACCCTTTGTTCATAACCACTATCTTTGTCATCTTTTTCTTGCACCAATTGCTGATAGGGAGGTAAAATTGAGGATACAATAGCACCTGCAACGGGTAAAAACATGTTATGTCTCTTGCTGATTAAAATCAAATCCTTATGAAATGTAAGAAGCAGACTCCTGGGATTCCAGTCTGCTGATAAAAAAATAGGCTTGAGGGAGTTTTATAACTTTGTGAAACTTCATCTATGTAAATATCATCAGAGCGCACGCAAAACTCAGGCTTGTGGTCAAACTTGCCTGCAACTTTGTACTGGTAAAGATTGAGTAGATGGAGTAGCGCCTGGGTAGACATTGAGGGATGGTCTCGACGGACGACATCTGGTTAAAACTGCTTTGCAAAAACTGGCGAGTCAGACGTGACCGGTTCAGTTAGAACCGGTTCAGCAGAAATTGCAGGATGGTCATGGTTTGTCAAATGAAGACGTTTGTCTGGATAGAGCCTGAGGCGTTAGACCCTAGCTAAATGATCCGATGTTAAATCCCCAGCGGGGAAGAAAAAAAATCCCTAGATTCCGCTGAAAATCCCTAAATCCCCAGATTTGCTCAAATATCCCCAAAAAATCTCTAGATTTTGCAAAAAACCACCATTTTTAAAGGAGAATTATGAATTCATTTGATGTATCGATTTGCAATATTTAAATCTGATTGGCTCGTTTGAATTTTGCCGCTCTCTGAAATCAGTGCCAAGCATTGCTAAAACAAAGCGTTAAAATGAAAGAATATTAGTTGAGTTTTTATTATTGTTTTTTACTGTTGACTGTCAAGTATATCGAGTGACGCAATCGTTTTAAGTTCCGTCTTGTTCACAGGGAAAATAGTGTTGCCAATAAGGCCTACAAAATATAAATGAAAAAAATATTTTCCTTCGTCAAAGCTAAAATTGAGGCTAAAAAGTCGATTTTTGCATACCTTTACCTCATGAAAAAAATCACTAGATGGTCTGAAAAATCCCTAGAAATTCAGGAAAATCCCTACATCTAGGGATAAATCCCTTGACATCAGATCACTGCCCCAGCTCTGCATTGTTCGAACTGAAGAGAGAAAACTCCACTCAATCCACCATACACCTGCTGTTGTTAGAGATAAGGAAGCATCACTATGCCATCCACTCATTTTGGTCACTTGTACACCTGTGATTCATAATTTCCCAAAACCTGACTAAACGCTGCATAAAGCTCTGGAAATCACTTTATCCATTCGGAAGCTTCTGAATCAACAGTTCAGCCTACAAATTGTTCCTTCTTTTTCTTATCATCTCGTGATAGCATCATTATGGTCACTAAAGGATTATCTCGGTTGACAAGCATAGCGAGCGAGCTTGAAACTCCGAATATGAGACAGTTTTGTCTCAGGAATTTGTGTGCTGTTCAAGATTCATAACCCTTTCCCCAGCAGTGGTATCTTAAGAATTTGAGTATGCGTTTCTCTGTATGCCACACCCACTTGGTTTAGGACTGTGTTTAACATGTGTGTTGGCAACTCATTCAATTCATAAAATAATTGTGACTAGATCAGATCCAGAATGTTTCCAACATTTTCGGTGAAAAGGAGCCTTTCTTTCAGTCACCAGCCAACAAAATCGTTGTTAAATCAAATTGAGGCTCAATTGAGCACAAATGCGAAACAAAATACATTGTTGCAACAATGAAGGGATTGTGACAGAAACAAATATTGTTATTACATTGGAAAAATTGTTAAAAAAAACGTCATTACATCCAGGTTTTACTGCAGTAAAAATTTTCTAGGAGGAACTCACAGGTTTTGACTGATACACTGAAATACACTTTTCTGGCGCAGAGATAAAAAAACCTTTAAATTGAACTGAGAACACAATTACTTTATGGTGCGATGTCTTGATAAGTTAGGAATTAAATACAAATTGTCAGTGTTATGGTCCTGTGGACCGCCATAAAAAAATGCGATAGAGTTGATGGTAAATTATGTAAATACCTGAGACTGTGGCATCCATGGTGGCCATCCGTTTGCTGAGAGGTGACAGGGAATGTTCTTTCTTTTCATTTTTCCTGTAAGGGGTCAAAATCAAACATGAATGACAGGTATGGAGGTGGCCAAAAAGCAGAAATAGAAGGTGCATCCAAACAGATCTCTGACTAGAAGTTTCCTGACTTTTAATATTTTAATAAACTAATGCATTCAATTCACTCAAAATTTTGATCAGATGTCATGCTTATTAGTTTTGGTTTGAACCATCACAAATCAATTGCAATCAAATGCGATATATAGCAATTGCTGCAAATTGATGAGTCAAATATCGCAATAATGCAGAGGCACTAAATTAGTCTACTTTGGAAATAATGAATATAACAAGGAGGTGCAACGTTGACATTTTTCAGTGAAAAACCATCTTATCCAACTTTATTTCTTTTCTAGTTTTTATCAGTAAAGATCAATCTTTTCTCACATCTGCTCAAATTCATTACTTTTATTGGCTTTAGCTGTCAACAGTAATTGCTTTTATGTAACACCAAGCTTTGCTCCTTGGATGTTTTTCGAGAATTCTATTCAATATTCAACTTTCAACTTTGAATCTTCCATCGTCAGACTCGACTGTCGCTGCAGCCTCGGCCAGTGACTGGACCTCTCCACTCTCTGGACGGATTTTCCTGTGCACTTGTATCAGCACAGCCATGAGCATTTCCACCCTGGATTCTGGGAAAGATTGTCCCTTTCCTTCACCGTTTTCACTTTGCCTTGGTGACATAGTTTCTTCTTTATTTACTGTTCATATTTTCTCTTGTTCTTTATATGCTTCGTTACCTTTTTCTTTGTGCCTTCTGCACTTAAAATATTAATTATTAAATCTGTCTCTGAGTGAAATGTATTTCTCAGTCTTTTTTTTATTTTCTGTCATTTTATTTCAGTTTGCTAATTTTTGCTCTCCCACTCTATTTTGACAGGTGTAGTTGTCCAAATACTTGGATTTTCACTATGAGGGTGAATTTCAGGGTATTTCGTCAACTAAGTCTTATCGACTGCTCCTCCAGTGATAAGAATTCATTCCGTGTGAGAGCAAGCCGCAAAGATATGAGGATACACACTATGTGGAATCAGGTCTGTCACTGAAGGAAGGAGACCCACTTCCTTGAGTTTTCAGTGAGCAGGATGTTTAGTATTTTTAATTTTGAAAAATCCTGATATTTTCCTGATGTATTATGAAAAATTCCTGATTTTTTCATTGTGAAATTTCCTGATATTTTCATTGTGAAATTTCCTGATATTTTCATTGTGAAATTTCCTGATATTTTCCTAATTTTTCTAGACTTCTCGCACAGTAGGCAAAAAGCAGTAAGACTTTCTCCGCTAAGGAGATTCGCATAAGAAAAATTCCCAATAAAATGTTCGATTTTTCGATTTTCCTGATCGGCCAATATTCCTGATATTTTCCGGTTTTCCCGATGCTAAATACCCTGATAAGGTGTGGTTCTTACAGAGGGATGAATGTGTTACATTCATTAAACTTTTTTTAAGGAAAATTGAAGAGCCCATAAGATATCACTCAAGTCAATTAAGAACGGAGGAATATGAACAGAGAGAACGCTCACTTTTTCTTTCTCTTGCTCCTTGATTCATGAGAAGTATCGGAGCTTGAGGATGAAGAGGAACTTGATTCAGAGGACGAACTGTCAGACGAGCTGCTGGAACTGCTTGATGATGAATGGCGTGATTTTCGTCTGGAGCAAAAAAAAAAAAAAAAAAAAAAAAAAAATTAAAAATAACTGAATATGATTGACAAAGGAACAAAGTTTCGATCCTTTCAATCTCATGCACATGAAAACATAAACTATGGTCAAGTTTTGCACAATTAATTAATTTTGACCAACAAAGGAAAGTAGCCCTCAATACATTAGGGCTAACAGTTAGGAATAAGTAACTTAATCCCTTTTTTAAAATTCTTGAGCATCTTTTTGACCAGGAGATAATTTTTGTTCTTTCAATAATATTTTTCGATCATCGTATCAGCACTTTCAGTGAGACAAAGGTGAGACATAACGACTGCTGGAGAAGTTGAATAATCTATGGTTTTAAACACATAAATCCTACTTTTTCTCATTCCCTGAATTATTGTTTTTGCTAATTTTCCTTTCGGGGCTTCCTTGTGTGAAATAGACGAAGAAAACGAAGACACATTGGTGCAATACAACAACAACTTAAGATTAGGAGCCAGTGCTGCAAAATTACTATGTTGAAAACGGGGTTCGGGCCTCCACAGCCATTTTGGACCCTCCTGGATATTCTGTATTTTTCATACTTGCATAGTGCTCTATGTCTGATTTTTTCTCCTAAAAAGTTAAATGCAGAAAAGTGTGGATAGATTGAGAGCAAAGAATGCTACAGGAAGGCTAAAAATGACCCTGGATATATAAGTTTATGTCCCTTTAATACGTTGCATGTCATCAAGTTTTTGAAAATTACTGCCCATGGTACCAGAAAAATATGAGAGGGGTCCAAAGAACACTAAGCCTGAATTTTGTGCTTAGTAGCTGTCAGTTTACTGTCAGATTCCGTTAATTTTTTTCAGCTGCCCATCAGTTGATGCCAGTTTGCCCATACTTGGCTTCACGAGCTTGATATGGCACCACAGAAATACCTCGGTATTGCGATCAATAGCTGGACATGACATGCAACGTTTTAATTGACCGGAAAAGAACAGACTTCTGCAGTTATTTAAAACACATTAATCTCACAGGCCATGATTGCGCGTCTCGAGATAAACACTTTTTCCCCCGTCTATTTGTCTTCCCCGTCTATACCGTCTTCGGACTCTGTGCGGTTTTCTTTTTATCCCCTCGGTGGATTCAATCCCTTTGTTTTCCCGGTATTTCCGGTATTCCCAAGAGCTAGAAATCCTGTAAACAACAAAAGAATAATTCTAGATACCAATATAAAGCTCATCATTTAAAATATTCGCTGCAGATCATAGGGTGCGCGCATTGATACAAAGTGCAAAACACCAGCTCAAGAATACATACCTGAACATTAAAACAAGAAAATAAATAACAAAGAAGAAGATTGTGCTAAGAAAATGAAGGCACACGAAAAAATTTTACAGAATGACAAAATTTGAAGGATCTATGCTTAGAAACAAGACCAATCCACACAGGTCAGGCATTGCGCAGCTTTTTTGAAATCCACCCCCCGCCCGGCCCTAACTCGCAGCGCTCAATGCTACGTCACAATGGGTGCTCCCATAAGGAATACATTGCAGGCACTCAATACTATACGTCACTGGGCAGTAGAGTACCAAAACTCGTCCTCGGGAATGACTGACCTGTGTGGATTGGTCTTGCTTAGAAAGAGTTGTATAGAAAAAAAAGCCTCCTTAAAGCCTTACTTTTTGTCCTTCTTTTTTTTCTTTGAGGATTTCTCTTTAAGTTCTTGTTCACCTAACAATTGTTTGAGAGTATCTTTCACTTCTAGAGCTTTTGATGGTGTTATCTGGGGAAACGGCAGATCATCCAATTTTTTGGCAGCACCACCTAAATGATTCTTCTTTAGGTACTCGATTGAGTTTTGAGCTTCTTCGTGGAACGGTATTATTGCCAAGCAGCGTTCATACGATTTCAAAGCCTCTTCAAATTTGTTCTCCTCTTCAAAACTAAAACAAAAAATAGAAATTGAAAACATATTTTGAAAGTTTAATTGTATCAAGTCCCTTATTATGTAACTCTCCAAGTTGCATTCAGAGTAAAGATAAGTGTTTTATGTATCCTTTAGTCTGTTTTGGTTAGGTTTTCTCGAGTCTCTGACCGGGCAAACATGACTGTCAGCCACGTAGCGAAACTGCGGTAAATTTAAGAAAGCATGTTACACATTCCCAGATTGCGTGCTGGGGAGTAGATTTCAAACATTCTCCATATAATATAATAAGGACTAATAAAGGAACCTTGATGCTCACGATGAGCATCCTGAGCATCAAGGTTCCTTCATTAGTCCTTATTATATTATTCATAGACGCTACTCCAATCATGTTTAATTATGTACTTGCAGCCAGACCAAGCAAAGATTGCTAAAAAATACTGTAATACTGTAATACATTTAGAAAAAACCAAAAGTAACCTAAATTTCAACAAGCGATGTAAGAAACAGCATGTTTTACCCAACTACATCAAACTGTCAATGAAGATTAAATCAATTGCCGCCCAACAAGCAATTAAATTTGCCAAAGAATATTGGTTAAATTCCGAAATCAAACAGCATCATAAGAAAATTAAGAAAGTCATCACAGAACTAGAGCATACGAAACAAGTATTATTTACAAGTGTTTCCAAGCATATTGAAGTAAGAATACGCGATGAAGTAAAACAAAAAACAGACAAAATTATCAAGAGGAAAAATTATGCAATTAATAAAAAAATTGATAAATTAATCTAAGCCCAAAAAAATGAGCATCAAGGTTCCTTGATTAGTCCTTATTATATTATTCATAGATGCTACTCCAATCATGTTTAATTCTCGATATACCCAGCATAATTTTAGTGCTATTTTACCAGAAGAAGGTCTTTTAGCTTAGCAGAACTACATACATAAGATTCACTTTCATAGCGCTCTCTGGCGCTCTACGATGTCTAATCACCACAAAACTTGGTCCTCCTACAACCCGTCAGGGCGTTGGCACTCCCTTATTTAATTTAAAGCCCCCATTACACCCTTTCACTGGGCATCCCCTTCGTCTCCACCCAGGAGGAACCCAATCAAGCATCTTTTTTGGCAGCCTTTCTTTCATCATCCTATTAACATGATCGTGCCCGACAAGCTGTTTGGTCATGACGTTGTGTTCGACTTAGCTGTACTACTAACATAAAACAGACGTATTCAGGAGTGAAAAAATAATGGGCTCAAGTTTGCACAGTGACCAAATAAGCGTGACAGCAGAATATTACTGAAAGAGGAATACTGTCTTAAGGGTAGAGTAAAAAAAATTTAATTTATTTACTGGGATTAAATAACTGTCACTAAAAATGATAGAAGAAATTAAGTTTGCTTTAGACCTAAGTAAAAAAAGCAAGATGCAAAATTTTGCTGATTGAATCAAGCATCAATTTTACGTACCTTCTGCCATGTGCAACTAAGGTCTCTCCAAGATATTTTCTTGCATTTTGATGAATAGGATTTAGTTTTAAAGCAGCTTCAAAATCATCGATTGCTTTTTTGAAACTTCCACTGTTTGCGTACCTAACAAACAATTGATAAAAAAACGTAATGATTAGTATTTTTGGAAGCGTTAAACTGGACCGACTGCAGCACAATGTGACAGTTTGTTTCTCCATGAACAAAAAAAATACCACAGTCAGACTGCAGGTTGCCAAATCCTTGCTGATACAGATTTAACCAGGATACATGACTTAGTGGTCAAAAGAATTAACCAAGGTTTTTCATGAGATTACTTCCTTTTGTGCCGCACATTCCAGATTTGACACATTTTTTTAAACGAAGTGTTCCACTACAAGAAAAGCAGCAATCATCCATCCTTTGTACCATCGGAATGGCGAGGGTGTAATATTGGGAAGTTATAGTAGAATGAAAGGCAAGGAAACGACTGGGTTTTCTTGCAACGGAGCATTATGTTTGAGAAAGAATTCCAAAATCTGGAATTAAGTTACACCGTCCTTGCTATGGACGGCAATATAGGACAACATGGTTGCTGTATTAGGATTGTAATCCTGAATAGAAGCTAAAAAACCCATTTTTGACAGGAGTTATCATTTCACATGGGTTTTAGGATAGCAAATAAAAATCAGGATGCAGGTTATCTGTAGGCGGCAACAAATGGTATGTGGCACAATATCCCACCTATAATAGTTACCCGACCTATGTCGTCAATTCTTTTGTTCATGATAACTACCGTTAGATTTACGTAAGCTGATTCAAATTTTGTAATTTTGTCAATTTCGGTCTGATGAAGAACTGTATAGATTTTCGGTTATATTAAATTTACCGATTACTTATAAACGGTAATTAACGTAAGTGCCCTACATACGCTGTTTTCCACTAATCTGTTTTTACGAAAGTTCCATTCCTTGGTTTTCTTGCTAACCTTTGTTTACTATCAGCTAATATTGTATTTCAATTTCTTTTTTTCATTTTTTTCGTTTTTTTTTGTTTATAAATCATTGCTAGGTTAGTTTTATTTTTTTTGCCAGCAATTCTAACCCCCCCCCCCCCCCCCAGCTCATTTTTCTAGCTACATTACCCTCTCCCCTTAACTCATTTTTCTATCGATTTTATCATTTTTTTTATGGCATGTCTTGCTCCCCTACCACCATTTTTTTCGGGGTTATAAATATTTTAGCGGCATCTAGACCCGTGACTCCAGCCACACGCATTTCGCTAGTGTTCAAGATGATGAAGAGCGACTCATTTGGCAACAATTCTGAGGGCTTGGCCACATGGCATGGCCTTTCTGAATAAGTACAATGACACCTTGAAAATAGAATATGTCAAACTTAGACTAGCAAATTCCAATCAGTTTTGGAAATAGAGGACTTGAGAACATCATGAATTGTTGAAATATTGAATTAAAAATCCTGTGCTAACTAGAATGTGGAGAAACATAGAGAATCTAACACTTACAAAGCCCCTCGAGCAACCAAGCCTTCGATGTTTCTTGGATCAATCTGTAGAGCTTTGTTTAATGACTGAAACGCTTCCGAATGCTTCCCAGCCTTGAAATACTCGATTCCATCCGCGACATTTCGATATGCCCACTTGCCAGCTTGAACCTGGCGTAATTCAGTTGCGTTTTCAGAAATTGGAAACCGCACTCTGTAATAAAAAGAATTCACGAAACATATAATAATCATCAACGTCATCTTCAACGAATTCGGCTCAAATTGAAAAGATATTCTGATTTATGACAGATAAAAAGGTGGGAACTGAACAGGCATTTAGGGAGTCAGAACTGGATAAAAAATAGGTAATTTATTTCATTTGAAAGTAAATGTTCAATAGAAGTCTATGTAATTGAATCGATTTTAAATTTATCAAATGCTTAATGACCGTCATTAACCTGGAATACATCTATTGGATAAATCGAGAGATTTCATAGTCAATACATGAATTAGGACTATACTACTTTTTTCCAGATTTTCTTAAAATGTGGTGCAGTCATTTTAACTCTCTCCTTGCAAATTTTTATTGACTTACGACAAAGTAAAATTTGACAACTTACTTCAAGTTGGGGAAGTGAGAAAAATGCTTGGAGCCCAGACCAACAGCATTAGAGAGATTGTTCACACTACTAGGATTAAAAAACCCAACACTTTTATGCAGAAGATTGAAGTACGATTCAGTCAATGGCTCTTGAAATTTTCTGCAAACAGATGAAAATACAAATAATTAATCAGCTGGCATGGTGTGGTTGAAACTTGTGAGTCAGAATTAAAAAAAGAGGATAGTTAAATGCCGGAGGGTCATCATAGTCAGGCAACATGTTTCCAAAATTTTGATAGTTCTGTTAAGGTTGACAAGCATTAATAGCGAAACCTTTTGATGATATTAAAGTAAATGAGATCAGAGCTCAGATACTTCATTTTGCAGACAATGGAAATAACAGAAAATGGAAACATTAATTCCTCACCGATGAGATCATTTATGAAAATTTTACATTACTAGGTGTCTTCCGCATGAAATTTGGATAAGATAAAATATACTGCAGTTTGTTTTCAGATGGTTCATTGCCAAGTGCCACTTTAAACCTTGAAATTTTTAAGGTCAATGTTATTGTATGCCTTAAAAGACAAAGCAAGATTTGAAGTTAGACAAATCCAACAACAGTTATCCATAATTTGTGAACTTGAAGAAATCTTCAGAAAACCTTGTTAAGGTCAGGGATGCAGAAAGTTATGTCGCGATTCAGGGTTTTCGCCTCGCGGCCAAACATCCTATTTTATGGCAAAGTAACTGATTTTGCGATAAATCGTGCAATTAGTCCCACTTCTAAAGAATCCGGAGAGGAAGCCAAAAAATGGTCATCGCTTTTGAAAATTGTTTCATGACCCACGATTTGTTTCACATCAACCCCGATCCTAGGATCAGACCTGGCATCTTTTAAACCCCTTGAAGAGGTTATGCATTCTGATCCCAAAAAGCTATTAATAATAACAATAAATGAAATTAGTTACGGTCAGATATTCAGTTGAATGACTCCAGAAAGGAGGGCATCTGAATGAAAGATTAAGAACCCGCCGGAAATGATGGGTCATTTAAAAGGCGCACAGGTTATGAGCAAATAATTTTTTTCACAGTATACTTACCTTTAAGAATTAAATCATACATACAATCGACTGATTTAGTAAAAACGGAACTGCGTACAAACATAGTATGTAGTGCTCCTTTCGATGTTTGGCATTTTTCAAAATATAATTGAATGACTTATGACACATCTTAGGTTCAACAGCTTCATTTGATAAAAGATGAAAGTTTTTATGGACCGACGAGATAAAATCCAACATTTGAGAAAAATTTGGGGCTGAAGGTAGTTTAATGGTGATCAATGCTTCATTGATGATACGACGATAACCGAGAAAGGTCAGTTTACATCAAAAATCCAATCAGAATCCACAGAATAACAGAGACGTCATAATTGTGTTTTGGAAAATAAATTGTGAAGTAATTCGATATCCAATTTGCAATGATCACATCATAAAAAGAAATAAGAAATACCTATTGGCTAGAATGAAAACAAAAAAAAGGGGAAAAAAGATTTGTAAATCAGTAGGTAAATAGAAATTATCTATACATAAAATTACTTATTGTGAACTTAATAATTTTGTAATTCACAGTTGGAGTGAAAGTTGAGTTCATCACAAGATGAAAAAACTTACGCTCTGATTAACAAATCAGATAGAATATACATTACCAAAATCCCATCGATAAAATTTAACTATCCAGTCTTATGAAAACAAACATCATATTACTGACAATAAGTTATGAAAGCTCCCATGACGGAAGGTTAAGACATGCTACCCCCAAATTGTTTATTCATATATGTTATTTTTCATTGTGAATTTTTTGGGCTAAGAAAATCTGATTTTCTTTGCAGTACAATCTGACATTTTCAGGAACATGAAAATTTTTTGTTGACTTTGATCAGTTTCCAACCTTGCAGACACCAGGATTCTGATGTTCAGATTTCTTAGGCTGCCTCCATTATCAAAAACTGCATACCTGATCAATTTAATTAATGAGATGAGAAGCATTATAAATAATCCCGTGGCATGTTGTTTCCAGAATAAAACAAATGAAATTCCTTAACATTTGAAGTCATCTGGTTCATTTCTCACCTGCCATTAAGACGGAGCTTTTGAAGCTTCCAGTAAGCATAGGGGTTGATTTGACTTTAAGACATTCAATCTCTTGCAAAATTTTACCAAAGCAATAAAAAATTGCAGATGTTAGTAACACGACAACTGTCCAAGTCATGAGTCAACAAATTTAGGCCTCTTAATGTAAGAGATAACGGTTACTTTTTCAGTTTTGTTCTATACATTTTAGTGACGCATTCCCCGAGACGCTCTTCATCAAGGTAACTATACAATATTACATGAAACTCTCAATCAATTTAATTTTTATTTTTTTGCTAGACAGTAAAAAATCAAGTATTTTGGACAGCCAATATTCAAGTGTTGAAAAAAAATAGTACCCAAAAAAAGCTTAACAAAGCCATTATGATTTACAACAGAATATGTATCAAAGTAATAGAATCAAGTGATTGCATACTATAAAATGGCAAACTTTGAAAGATGAAAGAAACAGTTCTCACCTGAGGTTAAGTTGCACAGTCTTAATATGCAAATGACTTTCTATTCATGATTGATTTTATACCTAGACGAGAACGAATCGATTTCAATGACTGTGAGTGATTCATTTCCTACAGACCAGTGTTGCGTATAAAGCACTATTAGAGATGTCAAAAGGTTGGATAGAAAATCATAGGAAGGAGTGTGGTGGTATATTTCATCATAATTCACAGAGATTAGATGACCGCATAGGATACAGCAATAATAGGTACTTCCATTCGGTGCGGAACTTTACCGGACTGCAAGGTATCAATTTTTTATGAGCTTTCATAATTGATTTAGCGAATCAGCTAAAACCAGCATTAAATCAAGAGTTGATAACTATGCTGCAATTAAAACACAATACATTAAAAAAATATTCTCTTCCAAATCGAGGTTAAAATCTGAATACCTATCGATGGTAATAAATGCATTTTGAAAGAACCTCCCATACAATTTCTGTTCCGTTAACAGAAAATCAATTAAATCCTTTGTATAATGCCAGTAGAAAGTGCTCAGGTTGAAGAGTAACTGTACTCTGAATAAAAATCATACAGAGCAAAACTATCAAAGCTCTAGTTCTGAATCAAGTCGTTCTATTCTCAGGAATTTCTCTGCCAAACTTTCTTCAAATTTTCTTGGATAATTTTTTTTCTTGAATTATAAATTTGAAGCCAGTGATTTCAAGAAAACTCAATGTCATGATAAAACATGAAGAAGTAATAAAGAGTTATCTGTGAACAAGCTTTACGACTTGACCTGGTATTAGAGTATTTGCTCTTGATTTTTTAGATTGATGAAGTAGAGAACATAGTTGCCATTTTGGCTTTGTCATTGACTGAAATGAAAGTGTTGTTCACTTAATAAGAGACAAATCATGATGGTAACTCATGATGCTTTGGGCCTTTCTTTGACATATTCTCTCGTAACTTATGGAATAGAAGTAAGAAGAGGAAAAGATAAGCTTGGATAAATACCTAGTATGCACTGTATTCTGAAATTCAAGGTCCAGATTTAATGAGTAAGATTATACCAGTCTTCTTTGGTTATCACGCTCATTTTTGCGAAGTATGCAAGTAGGAGGATTTCCATTTCGAAATATTCTGATTTTTTTCCAGCGATCATATCAAGGATACATCAGGACCGTACTAAAACTTTACTGAAAACGACCAAATTTCTTCGATTCTTCATTTTTTGTTTGTTGCGAAATATTCTGAGGCAAGGCCATGGTCTTCAAATGCTGAACGATGAATATGTTGGAAAGTTTCTAGATGAATATTTTCGACAACACATGTTTGATGAATGATATTGTGAACGTTAGATTTCTTTCGTTGTTTGGAGTCCTAGAATAACTTCATGGCTCCACTCTTCTTGAGTTGGCTTACTACAGCGAAATGAAGTTGCAAATTATCATAGATCACAGAGTCACAGCTCATAGGTTACAATCAATCATTTGTGAAGTGCTGAGGGTTAAATAGACTAACATGTGAACTTAAAAGGCCTGAAAAGTGTTAAAAGAAAGACATGAAATAGGCACAGTTAACACAGGTTGCATTATGATCAAACAGATGGGCACTGACAGATGGACCATGATGAGTACTGTGGTGGAAAAACTTGAAACGTTTCATGATGCAAACAAGTTAACACTCTCATTCAATCTAGAAGAGTGAAAGATGAACACAACTGGCTGAATTCCATTTTTTCAAGTTATGTAAGTGGACACTTATTTTGGAATGATTGAATTCCATGTGATGCTGCTAGTTACAAGTCTTGTGAGGACTGGAAAGCTGTTGTTTACATTACATTTGCAAATCGTAAAAAAATGCATAATCCTCATGAAAGGGATGATGAGGATCGGAGCTCCAATGACGCTACAACCACTGTCACAGAACATTAATCCGTTGCCATTTCTTGATTGCGCATGAATTTATAAATTATAGGCCTATTAAATGATCATTAAGTAACATCACAGAAACAGTCAATTAATTCAAATTAAGAAAAAACTTGCTTCAAATTCAAGTTATAACACAGGGAATGGCTAAACAAAGGATTCACTAATTTATTTGACGAACAGAATGGTGGCTACGAGATGCTTGGATATTCACGGATAACTTTAACGTTTAATCAATTCTTCAATCTCCATGATTTTAATACCTTCACCAGTTTCAATAAAGGACTAAGATACTGCGTTGAACAATCGAGTTCACACTGATCGATTAGGAATCCATGAACGAGGAAATTCTACGTTTTAGATGACTTTCCAGTTGACAAAACAGAAAAACTCAAAAAACTCTTTGACTCAATATTATTCTTGAAGCTTTGAAAATGTTGCAACAATACATCAAGTTTGCATACAATTTTTCTCAGACAATCTCTTTGCAGAATGATGTGGGACCTCATAAATACCTATATCATTGATCAGTAAGGGGCTTCTTTTAAATCAAACCAGAGAGGATTGCAAAAAGTTCCCTTCTTTTTTATCCTGATCCAGCCCAATCAATGCGTTTCAATGAATCGCTTGGATTGCTTTTCCTAAGTAGCCATCAAGCGGTTACGTGCCATTCTAACCTCAAGCTGAGCCGCTTCAAACCATAACCTGATCCATCGCGTTCCATGGGTTAAAGAAAAGAAACCCTTAATAATGAGATTTTTATAAATGCTGTAAGTGATCCAGAATTCTTCAAAAAGCCAAAACTCGTAACATTAGTGGGCAAAATTGTTTGTGCTTGCAGTAGGTCCTAAACCGATTAAACATGGACTTAAACCGACCAATATCAAGTGCCACTTTTAGTCAGCGAATCTTTTGGAATCAAAACAAAATAACTCTATTAGGAAAAGAGCGCAGAGAGCATACATGGATACAAATTACAGTATACATGCCATTGTCCAAAAAGAAAATGTGTTGGTTAACTACGTGAAAAAGATACATAACTTGAGAAGAGTAACGAAGAAACTCACTTGAAAACTTCAGGAAAATCATCTGATTTGATTAGTCCCAGCTTAGCTTTTTGTTCTACTGTACAGTACTCGCCTTTCATGCCACAAATTAATTTCTCTGCATCTGGAATGATATCTAATACTTCACAGCAAATATTGTCGTTGTTCATGAAAGCGCAATTGGTTCTATTCGATATTGCTGGTGCAATGAGCTTTGAGGTGGGAATGAAAGCCTGAACAAAAGAAAATGTTTCTCATAGAAAAATAATACGGAACATTATGTTTCAGCACAAATATAGATCTTTTAGTTTATTTTGGAGGACATTTAATTACATGCACAAAAGCAATCTTTCCTCATACCAGACCGAAGACAGAGAATTTTTAAAGAGTAATGATTCAAAAGCATGGATTGCAAATACAACAGCCTCTTGGATTCATCTTCTCACATGATAGGTTTTATATTCATTTGATTGATTCTAAACTCTCTCATAATACAAACTCATTACCTTCAGTATCAATATTTATGAAGATACGTGTGTAAAATTGGATTGAAATTGAAATTTCATTAAAATAAAATGTTATACTTGAACTACGTGATAAACACTTTTGAGTGATGAGGTGAGTTTTCTCTCTCTTTTAATAAAATTGAGGCATGAGCCTTCATCACACTCCCAAGTACTCACCAATTTATGGAGGTCACATAGCTTGATGGTGACATGAGAGGTTCATGGCTTTTCCCCTTTTCAAATTGGTCTTCCCATTTTAAAATCCCTTATATCTCAGAAATTTCAAAGTGATGACCTTCTAAGGGCTCTAATACTATAAATTGCTGTGATTTTACGTAAGATCTGTCATTTTAACTTGCTTTAAGTCTACTTGGACTCATCGTCAGTGCAGCGCAGCGCAGCTTCCAAACTCTCAAAGGTAAGGAAAACTAGACTGAGATTTGGGAATGCGACCACAGCAGGAAGCCACCTAGGAAACGACGTAACTAAACAGCACTACATACATATGATGCCTTGGCAAGATATGCTGCCACAAGTAGGTTTGAGTGCATGATTTGTTTAAACTACATTATTTTTTTCTTGTTGCAGTGCCCTAGAAATCAGTTTACTTAACTGAAATTCTCATTAAATTATGTTGTTAATCAATGCATGTGAACTGACCATATCTCCAATATTGCTTCCTACAATCTGTAGGAAACAGAAACATTTTGAGAAAACAAGACTTACAGTTGCAGTAACTTACTTTAATATTTGCGTCTGACACACAACTAACAACATCTCCATCTGAACATAAGACTTTCAAAACGAGGCCACTTGAAGCTTTTGATGTAACTGTTGCTATGAGAATATCTCCAGGTTTCAGCGTCTATTAAAAGAAAATTTTTTCATTTCAGTTCAACAGGTGCGTTGTTACAGAAAAACAGACTGATATTTTTTAAATATTACACAGGTACACAAAAATCTGATTTTGAAAAAAGACAAGGATCTCAGATTGTGATACTTCAGGAATTTTTCAGCATTGAATCTGAAAATGATATCTGTATATCTACATCCTGTAAAGAAATTTCAGTAAAATTGAATTTTCCCTAAAAAAAAGATTTGAAATTAAAGCTCTTTTTATCAGGATGCATTTTGGATTTTTGATTTTACCTTTGTTTTTCCCGATCACAACCAAAATCTACAAATAAGCGATCAGGAAAAACAAAGGTAAAATGAAAAATCCAAAAAAATATTCTCTGAAGAAACTTCGATTTTCCAGAGAACTGGTGCAGGGTAATTAGTTTCAACTTTAAGGGTGTGACAGACAGTCCGGTAAGAGCCGGCGTCGCGTGCAGACCGTCTCCGCGACGCTCCGTTCCTCTTATCTCCCCGCGCCACAAATAAGACCGTTACCACCCAGTATTTTATACTGTTCGATTAGTTTTAGTGTGCTGTGTTCTTTTATCTAGTCCTTAACAACGTTTAAGCTTTCCCTGCGATGTTTTCCGGGATTTTCTCAGTAGCTTTTTCGGCACAAAAGACTTTTCGTTTCGTTTTCTAAGTGTTTCGCGTTACGTAAGACCCTTCCAAAAGACATTATACTAGATAAGACTCTGTGATATTTTATACATCTTGATAGTTCCTATCAGCTTTGGAGGTGGCTGTGACTTTTGTGTGTGCGGTGCGGGGAGCGGAGTCGGGACTTTATCTTCTCCGCTCTAACCGCGAGTGGGGAGGGGCATACCGGACGAAGCGGGGGGGCTTTCTACACCTTCCGCGGGCGCCTGGCCCCCCCCCCTCCTTCACAGGTTTTCTGAGACCACCGGCTTTTACCTGTTATTCATAAAAGACATCTAGTCTTTTTTCTGCCCAGGTTTTTGGTCGCCCTCTCTCTCTTTGGCGGATCTTTTTGTCCTGGGCCGCGATCCACACGCAGGCGGAGCTCATAGACCAGTTTTTTCAATTGACCTTAATATCTAAAGACCTTAACATCGTTTTATGCCTGATTTTGCTCCTTTTCTCGACCTTACCATCTTCGGATCGTGTTTTCTATATTTCTACCTCCATGGATGCGCTAGCTGTTTTATCGGCCAACCTTCTTAGCGGAGCCCCACATGATGGAATATGCGGAAGATCCCGGACTCAGTCGTATTGGGGATGCGGCATTACGAGGTGCAGCTGGCCTGGGGAGCAGTTCGACTCAACATAAGACTTCTCCGTTAACCTATGTTAAGCTTCATGGAGAAGGCTGATGATGATGCACGAAAAGTGCGGTTCCGGCGTCAACCCAATCATCTACAGTAATGCCTGAATTTCGATATTACTTTAGTCTTTATTTTCAATCACCAATCCCTCATAGCCCTTTTCGTTTGTCACCCCCTTCCCCTGGTGGTACAAACACCCGATTGTTAATTTTGATTATTGTAACCGGTTTGTAGCTCTGTTTAGTTGACAAATAAACAATAAAAAAAAAAAAAAAAAAAAAAAAAGGGTGTGACAGGCATACAACTTCAGAGATGAAGTTTATTCAGTTGCACTCAGAGTTCTTGAAAACTTATTGTTAGTATCAAGGTGAAAAGAATTTATCTTGTATTTACATGCTATTTCCATGTCTCCAATAAGATTTTTTGTGAATTTATTTAGAGGAAATATTAATAAAAAAAAATTGGAGGGAACAATGATAGAGACAAGGTGTTAAAAACTCTAGTATACTCAGGCCGCAATTTTTTCTTGATGTATGACTTAACTCTTACAATACGCAGCATGATTGGAGAAACAAAAAGATGAAAGAGCAGCTATGGTATTTCTTGCTGTTTCTCATTTTTATTTGATGGTTTGTATTTTTTTATGGGAAAAAAGTTACCTTTTTCCCCCCGATGTCCCGGATGGAAACTAGGACATCAGGGGGGAGAAAAAGGTGACTTTTTTCCATAAAAAAATCTAAACATGAGCCCTGATAAAAATGAGCAACCTAAGAGATTGATGGTTTATGTTCATGAGAAAGATAACTGCATCCTATGGATCAGGAAACTTTGAGTCTTGAAGGCTCATCGTTACACTTGGTGTCTACAAGACTGAATAAATTATTCAAAACCAGATTCTTTTAGCCAAGGATGCAGTTGAGAACACATAGTTATTTCCAGGATAACTTACCTCCAGAAAACGTTTGGTCTTCACAGCAGGGTCAATTTTGAGGAAAGTCTCATAAGGAGGTAAAACAGCAAAATGGCTTGAGTCAACAAGTCTGCCTCTAGTTTCAACATTATCATCTTTCTTCTGAAGATCATTGTCAAACAAAATTGGAGCATTTTTGACAATGAAGTCATGCAACTTCAATCGTTTCCCACGATCCTGAAAACTGAAAAAAAATTCCAGAAGTCAAAATCAATGCAAATATAAAAAAAATTTAAATCCAAAATTTAAAATGCAGAGGCAGTTCAAATTTAATTCAATTTGCACTACTGATTATCAAGGATGAGGATTGAACAGGAACCTCAAAAATTTAAAGTTACAGTTCACTCTCTTATTTATTTATTTATGCAGAATTTTCAACTGTCCTACATGATTATCATTCAAACATCAGATAAGGAAGCATCAAATAAGGGGCCATCCATAAATTACAAACGGCTCTTAGAAGGGAGAGGGGGAGTCTCTAACAGCCTTGCGGTGCCCTACGAGGGGGTATGGCTGAGCTTTGCATAAGCTTTTTAACCCATATTAGAAGAAAATGCAAAAATCCATTTTTCGTCAGGTTGATGAGAAAATTCAAGATGAAGAAATAGAGGAAATCAGCAAACCATCGATTGCTGACTGATCGGACCATGCTCCCATCATTTCTCGTGATTCCCACTTCTCCACTCCGTAAGATGATGAGTAGTGACTACATCCTTATATCAACTTTATACTGTTAACTGTTCCAAAGGCCAAAAAAATCTTCAATTTTACTCCGTATTTTTGTTTATCAAACTAATTATATCATTATTATTTCCTATGAACTTACTCTAAAACTTTAGTTTCATGCTGATAAAAATGTTGGCCTAAAAATTGCATTATTTTCTAAAAGAAAACAAATTGCTCAGATCTGTGTCAGCAAGGCGGATAAAGAATGGTGGTCACATTTCGTACCCTCTAGACGTCACACGGTATCGGTTACATGGGCCAGCCGAGGCTGGGGGGG